CACCTAAACCATATTTTGGCCTACTATATCATTGTCATTGTCTTAAAGTAACATTTTCATTGCCTTCTTGTACTTTTATCTCCAAAACATCAATATATTCTAATCAAATTAATCATTTGGCTTAACTTTGTTGTGATATTTTTCAAATTTGCTTTAACAATCTTCATTATTTCTATCTTAAATTATTTGTTAAGTTGCTTACAGAGCTCTTTTAATATTAATTTAAATAATATTATTTTTTTCAATAATCTGTAATATTATTAATTGTTTATTTAGAAGAAATACTATTTATACCAAAAAATCTTATAAATCATTAAAAAAAACTATTTAAGTATTTACTGATTTGTGTATATGCAAAGATATGCACTTGTGAAGTGACTATCAATTGCCATTATAGTAACTTTAAATTATGATTGTGGTAGACAATACAATCATTGAAATTGACCAAAATCAATAACATAGTACAATATTAAAATTTTCCTTTACTCTTAATTAGCTGTCAGTTTGAATTTAATGAGAGATTGTTAAAGGCTAATAAGTTATGTCATATTTCAATTTGTAATAACAAATTTAATCACAAGCTTATAGATGTCAATGGTAATTCAATTATTTGTCAACTTTAAGCTACCAAATATGAATTTAATATATAGATGTTTATAAAAATAGAAAATATCATCTTATATATAATTAGCCAATTAAACTTCAAAGAATACTTACACTTTTATTACACCAAGTTGCACAATTAATCTCCACTTTTTTTTCTTTTCTTTTCTTTTTTTTTTTTTTTTTTTATAGATATCTTTTACAAAAATTGGATAATAATGCAATTATCAATGCAAGACTTTTAACAAGGTAATATATTTATTTTATGTCCACCTAAGTTGCATTATGTTGATAAAGTGATATTTAAAAAATCTTATAATTGATTGTATATACAAGACAAATTGATTTTAGATGCTAATATCCTAGATTATTGGCATGGTAAGCTTCTATATGATGTTTGTTATTATAATAATTATTTTGCATAAAGATAGCAGAGCATATTATGCATTGATCTTAGAAATACTAATCCAACTTTTTTCTAATAAAAAATTGATCACAAAAATGATAAATTGCAAACTCACTTTGTTCTATATATTTGTAAGATATTTTTTCTAATTTGAAATTAATTCTTTAATTTTAGCACAACAACAAAAATATGAAAAAAAATTCAAAAAATTCTTTGGCACCAAAAAAGATTGTAAAGAGTTCAAGTAAATATAACAAAGTGTTATCCATTATTTTTCCATACACGCATTTGAAATGCATTAGACCAAGTTAAAAGACAAGAAGAATGTTGTAAAAATATTTCTTAATTATCTCAAAATACTTAAATCATAGATGATTAAGAGTATTTTATTATCTAAATATTAAATATTCATTGCATGTGAAATGAACTCATTCTATGTAAAAAAAATTCTTTCAAGAGTCAATCCAAGATTTGTTTTAAATTGAAACTACTTTGTTGTAAACATTTATGGATTAAATCAATAAGATTATAAATAAAATTGCAAGGAAATACATGCAAGTTTATCATTGTCATAGTTGAATGTTCTATGAGAACAAGATCTAAATGTTCTTGTCATTAATAATACATAAGTTATTAATAGATATTTTGGTAGATATATCAATTATAATATATTGCAAGATATTGTTGTTTGATATGAATAGGGATCTAATTTATTTCCATATTATATGAGAAATTTATTCAAAATAATAATAAAAAATAGCTAAAGATACATGAATTCAAAAACAGTTAGTTATTAATTTATTTTTTGGATTTAAAATTTTAATTTCGAAGTTTAATAGATGAATGAAGAAAAAAAAATTATTTTATTTTATAGAGACATTAAATTTCTTATAAAATTTAGATTCTCAATTTAAATATCTAATGAATAATAATTTAATTAAAATAGAAATTCAAATATTATTCAATTTTTTTAATATAAGCTAAAAAGTAAATTTTATTATATAAGTAGATACTAAAATTATAATTAATCATTTTACAGATATTTTAGTTTAAATTTTAAAATAATGTATAAATTTGTGTAATTTAAAATTTACCTATGTAAAAAAGCATAGATTTTTCAAAAGTAAGCTTTATAAATATAAAGTTACATATTAGTTTCTATTATTTTGAAAAATAAAATAAATATGAATATATTTATTATTATTTAATTCTTTATACAAATTATTTTTAAAATATTAATATTTTAAATTATTTTATACAATATTTTGTGAATCATAATATATAAATTTAAAAATACAAAGTTAATTATTTTTAGAAGAATGCAATAAATAATTATTTTTAGAAATATATTAAATTAGAATTATAGAGCTATACATATTTTATTAAAAAATAAATTAAATTAAAGAATTTTATAGTATATATTATAATATTTTTCTAAAAAATATAATAATAAAAAAATTGTATTGAATTTTTCAAGGTAGATAATTTACTTATAAATTAATTCGTAAAAGTAATATAAATATGAGGATTAAGTATTACTGAGTTATTAAAATATCATAAGATAATGCATGATAGATATATTTAGACGAATATTAATTTAAAACTTATAACTAAAATTAAGTATTGTCGATTAGATTATTTAAAAACTTAACTAAAAACATAGCTAGAAACAATTTTATAACTTTAAATGTTAATAAAATAATTATATATATATATATATATATATATATATATATGTTTTAAGAAATGACTAATAACTATTTTTCAAAGAAAAAACCTTATTCTTCTTTTATTTTGGGCTTTGTGCATAATATATATGTTTTCTAAATTTAAAAGATATTTGTATAAATAATAAATCTCACAAGAAAATATATGTAAGTTTATCTAAAAAAGGCTTATATATTATTAATTATATGTTATTTTTAATATATATACATTTTTTATTAAAAAATATTTACATCAGCTTTATTTATATTGAATAGTAATAACCTTTAATAATAAAGTATTGAGATTTTAAAATCTTAAGAAAATATATATATGGGCTAAAATAATCAAAAATCAAAGACAAATATGTAGGATTTTGCTAATACCACCACATTTTTTGCTATTGCCACCGCAACTTACTATCTACCACATGCAATCCTTATCCTTTAATAATTCTGTAAAATATAGTTAATTTTTTCAATTATATATATATATATATATATATATATATATAGTAATTTTAATAAATAATAAGATTCTTTTATCAAAAATATTATTTACAAAATTTTCTTATTTAATTTTTATTGCTATTTTTATTTTTATTTTTATATTAATTATAAAGATAATAATATTTGAAATGCTTAAAATATATTATATTTAAAATTAAAAAATTAAAAAATATGTTAAATGAGTGGTAGGTTGTGGTGGAAATAGTAACAACTATAGTAGCATAAATACAATAAAATATATATATATTTTAGTTATTTAATTTGAATTTTTGAAAAGAATATTTTATATAGTATTTGATTTAGAAAGTATTTTATTACCTATTTACAAAATATATACTCAATATTCACAAGTAGAGTTTATGAATCTTTAGTAACTAAAAGTACTACCTGGTCAACTTATGTTTTAAAAAATATCTAAATTAAGTGATATTAGTATTCACATGTGCTAGTTAATAATAACAGATCTCTAAAATGGCTATATATAATTTTATTGATAGTAACTAAGTAATTTAAGCATTATAAAGGTATATTTTTAATAAGTTTTAGAAAAAAATAATATAGTAAATTTGAAAAGACTTTTTTAAATCTTTGTTAGATTAAAGAAATAGTACCTTAAGAATTATTAAAATTTCCAAAATGTATAAAATTATGACTTTATTTTTTGTTTTTATTTTTTTATTAATCTAAGCCAAAGAAAATTAAATTATTTTATAGATTTATATATTCTACTATTGTAAAAATTAACTTCCAAGAAATAAGGGAGAAAAATAAAAAATATATATAACACTAATTATCATATAAATATTATAAAGGAGTATGATTTTTCACACTGAAGCATTTTTTTGTTAATAATATAAGAAAAGTTTTCAGGCTTGGATATAGTTAAAGAAAGACCTTCAAGAGATTTGTTTTTAGAATCTTTTCTTTCCAAAAATACTTTTGAAGTTATGAATTCTTTTAGCAAGCTTTGAGAACACTTTCAGAAGGTAAATTTTCTTTTTTCATAATTATGCTTGACATGGAATATGATTTTGGTACTTTACAAACTACAATACAACTATTTTTATTAAAAAAAGTAACATTTGAATAAATTTCAGGTATTCTTAAGTACCGTTTATATAAATTATATTCTTTATAAGAAATATATTTTTTATACTTAAATTACTCTTTAGAAAATAAATTGATTTATTTACATAAATTTTTAATATGTATGCATCAACATTTTTGCTTTGAAATCTATTTATTTGATTTATTAGTTTTATACCATTATAAATAATTAAAATATATTCAAAAATGGTTTTAAGTAATATATTTAATTTTTTTCTAATTTATTGTAAATACATACGTGCACAAATATAAAATTATTATTTAAGTATTCAAGAATATATATATATATATATATATATATATATATATATAACAAATGAATCTTGTGCTTTTTTATTTAGAGAAAAGCCAATGAGAAAAATAGATAAATTATATGTATATATATATATATATATATATATATATATCAGCTATTTTTGGATGATGTCAACCACATGCAAAGAAAAAATATATTAAACCCAAAAATTAAAATAATATTGTAAAGCATAAAACATGACCTAACACATGCTCCATAGAGAGAGGGGCTTGTTTCTAGTTTGTGCTCTCATGCGTCCGCGGCCATAGATCCCCGCCTCTCCCGCCGTGCCCTGGGGTGCCCTTATCCATCGGAGGGAGGGTGAGACCGTGGTCCCGGATCATGGGTGGCTGGTGTGAAGAAGAAGAAGGTGGCCCCATCGCATGCCGAGTGAGTGAGTGCCCATCCTCACCGAACATCGCCGCCTCGCCCCAACTCAACCCAGCTTGAATCCGAGCATCATCGCCGCGCTGATTGCATCATCCCCTCCCTGCCACTGCTCAATTGTTGGGTTCCTGATATTGTCGACCCGTTGGTATTCGTGTGTAGGAATTGCTGCCATGGCGCAGAGCGGGCTGTGGGCTGTGGGGATGCAGAGCGTGGGAGCTGTCAACAGACCCGGGTGGCTGCAGATTGAATGTGGGCGAGTGAGATTGAACCCAGCCGCCACAAGCTTGCGACAAGTGAGATGCGGCGTGGAGGACGAGGGGAAGATGAAGAAGGCTCCCGTGCGGTTGCCCGGAGGTCGTCAGGTCCCAGCTTATGGTGGATCGTTACCGAACTCGCCTCCTGGACTCGGCCAATTCAAGCCTCCGCACTTGTTTGGTATGTTGGAATTGGAGCCTTGGGATATTGCACGACTTGGGGTGTTGCTGTGGGATAGTACTCTGTGCTATGGAATGTATCATTTTTTGGAGAATTGTCTGTGGCGAATGCATGTGTTGATGTCGGAATCTTGGCTATGCCTGCATGACAGTCTTTTTTCTGTTTACCAATGCATTACGTAGTTCAGTTTCCAAGGCTTCTGAGCTGAGATCGTACAGACTGATATCAAGTTTTAGTGGGTTTCGATTTTAGGCACCAGGTTTTGTTCAGGGTGCGAAATCTCATAATCAAAGAATAAATTAAAGTCGGTTTTGTGATGAGAATAGGATTTACATTCTCTGTACAATGCAGTATACTATTAGAGTGACTGAAGAAGAACACTGTTGCAGGAATGCCGCCACCTGAGGATGTCTCCGAAGAGCAAGTAGCTAGAATTGAGGAAATTCTGGAGCAAATCAGAGGATGGTTAGTCTTCCACATCCTTGCTCAAGGTTTACAAAGTAACTATGCGAATTGTGATCACATTAGGTCACGTTTCATATACTTAGGAATAGATGGTTTAATGAATTGTTTCTCCTTTAGGAATTCTAAATTTATTGATAGTACCTCATCTCATTGTATGGTTTATCTTATTCCTGAAATGCTGATACACGGCTCGCAAATGGCACAGTTCTGGAACATGGCAAGAGAGGGCAGCCGGTATAGTGGAGCTACAGAAATCGGGCATGGGGTCGGAGGAGATCTATGATAAAGCATATGTGCCGGCTTCGACTCAAACAGTTATAGTGGTGGCTGCACAAGTGAGTCTCCGGTACGGAACCTGGGGTACCGTAGTGAAGGATATTGCTGATGATCCAAGGAAATCCATACAAATTTAGCATACTGTAAAACATGGTTTTCTGTCTACTTCGTTATGCCTATGCTGCAGAGTCTGTTGAGCGTTGCGTTGCGTATTAGGAAACCTAGGGGGCTTCTCTTTCACTGATAGGAAACGTGGTTTCCTGTCTACTTCCCTCTCTCGTTTCGGTGTCAGTCTTATGATCTGCTTGAGCTTCACTATTTAATTGAGTAAGTGAGTCAGAGAGAGTCTGTATTATCTCGATGTTTAGAAGGTCTGGCAGAGTGATTACTCGAATCAAAGTTAGGATACTTAGGTTTGTTGTGAAGTCTCAGAGAACACTGATATTCAATGGATAATAGTTGTGGGATCTAATTTATAGAGTTGGTTGGATCAGGTGTATCAATCATTGGCGCAGGTGGGATGTTCTTCGGATGTGCTGAGCTGGTATGACGACTCGAAAGTAGATGTTTTGTACTCCCTACGCACACTTTCTGCACAGCAACGGAAGGTTGTCTTCAACCTTGAAAGTTGGAATCTAGTTTATTTTCTCCTTTTGGCCTACACGTACACTTTGTTACATATAGATTGTTGTATAATGCGTAACGTTTTTTAATTGGGTTTATTACTGTAGACCTAAATCTGATTTTAAGTTTCTGATTAGATGTTTAATACTAACGCAATTTCACAATAAATGACTGGAAAACCCATAAGCCTTTCTGAAACAATTAATGCATGTCGCTTATGGCTGAATTTAGACCTCACTTGCTTTAATACAACATCCCGGTCCTCAAGCGGTGCATTAATGCCATTCTGTTCTCTAATGCTCTACTATGCAATGATGCAGTTAGCTGCAGAGTATGTGAAGGATAACGATCTGGATGTGTTGGGCTCTGCTGAGCTCGCAAAAGCTATCAAGGATCATGAACGAAGGCCTGAAGGACGCCAGGTCGGTAGCTTTCTTGTTCGACTCTCTCGTGAAATTTATTAATTTGAAGGCAGTTAACACCGGAGTTGCTGCTGCATCTATAGCATTTTCTTGTCATTTACTCCTTTCCTCCATCAGTATATAGATTAGTCTGGACTATAGTTGTGGGTTCTCATGGTTCTATTCTGTGCTTCACAGGGCTTCACACCTGTGCCTGGAGACTGTCTCGCATTCAGCTTGCACAGAGCTGCCGGAGAGAGTACAAACCCCGAAGAAAAAGCCGTATTCATCGATCGTGGTGTGTCTGTAGCTGTAACAGATTCTGCCAAGCAGAGGTTCGCAGAATTCTCGTGAGAAAATTGGCTAACATGACTTTCTTTAAGTGGGTTTCTAAATCGAATAGGCTAAACGAGTGTATAGTGCGGGACAAGAGAGAGCCTTCCTGATCTGCCGCAATGTTGGCACTGTGCTCAAGGCTTGAATGGCTTAAATTATTTTTAAAATTTTGTGATTCATATTCCTTCTTCTTTTGTTTCCTCTCAAGATTTTTGTGATGTTGATCTGCGTTGATCTCAATTAATAGATTTTCTTTTTTTATTTGTGATTTTCTAAATACTCCAAGTCGTTGCAAAGAGCGACTCTATTTATCTCTGCAGCATTTTTCAGATAGAGGGACCATCTTACCAAAACAGACAATGATTCTAGGCCCGAGATACCTTCAATTCTAATCGCTAGGAATTTATATCGTTGCTCTTTCGGCTGGTGAATGTCCAACAATGGATTTGAATTGTCCAAATGAATTTTGTTAACAAATGAATTTTGCTCCAATGGATTTGTGGCAAGTTCTCTAGTATTACATTAAAATTTTTCATGAAGGGCTTAATTGTATTTAGCTTGGTTAAGAATGTATTTCTAATCAAATTATTTTCATTAAACTTTGATTTACATAATATAGCCAATCTATTTTTTTATTATTATAGTATTGTGATAAAAATTAATCTTGTCCCTTTTGAAAGTCTTAGTGTAGAGACATTGGTATATAAGTCTATAATCATGAATAACATGTTATGTAGTTTGAGGTATGTGATTGTATTAGAAAAAAAACACCAAATGAGATATACAAGTAATGTATAAAATTTAAGCTTTTTTGATTTAATTTTAAATTAAATAATTGGATAATTTTAGTTCACAACTGGGCCATGAAGGAACTAGTGAGGTGACAAGCACAATATATAATTTGTGCGCTGCTTACTTGCAAGAATTATAATAAATCTAGAACATTTAATACTTTCAATATGTAACAGATGCTGGTCAGTCAGTGGCTGTAGTTTAGTGGTGAGAATTCCACGTTGAGGCCATAGAAACCTAGGCTTGAATCCCAACAGCCACACTCATTTTCTTTTCAGAGCTTTTAGGATTTTGTTCAATTGAATATGTTTTAATGCACTGTGACGATAACAGTCATCGAGAATGCAAAGCTTCTTGTTCTATAATTTTGTGCAAGCTTAGAATTCATGCCGCAATCCTGATCTCGGGTTGATTGAGATGCCTGATTTGACGATGTGAGGTATAATCTATTCATCCTAATGGAGGAGTGTTTTTTCCGCGTTTGGGTGGCAAGAGCAATTGCTGTGAGCACCTCTATAATAGATCAAGCCAAAAGACTATTGGATGATGGTAATAATGTTGAAAAACAACTGTCCAGGTCGAATGAGCTAGCACACTCAGCACACTCGTGCACTTCACGTAACTAAATTCAGTTTAAAGACAAATGATGATTTATCTGAACACCATTAGTTCGTTAGGGTGTATGACGTTTAAGGCCCTGCGCACACTTACGAAAGTGCGGTGAATTTGTGTTATTTTATTTCTCCGTTTAATGACATCAAAAACGTGTTATCTGCAAGGTCACATGCATGTATGGATCGAGTGTATTTTGAGCATTTTTTTCTCTTTATTCTCAACAGGTTATGGGTCCACGTTTCTCGCTGCCTTCTTCACTCTCTAAGCAGTAGATTTTTCCTCACCTTCTTCTGAACCATGTGACAAATCCTCCTTCATGAGACATGCTAGCTCAAAACTTCTTCGCATCCTCCTCCTCAACTAACCGCTTTACTGCCCCTCCTCTGTTTTCCTACTCTCTTCTTGTTAGAATGGAGGAAGTTGGCGATATAAAACCTGGTCTAGCCCAGGAAATGATCTCAGGCGGATCTGCCCGCAACCAGACTGCAGCTAGCCTACCATCCCTCATCTCACAATCCTTTTCTAGACCAGACATAGCTAGCATTGGTGTAACGCACATCGATAAGCTCACGAGGAATAACTTTTCAGTCTGGAAATTCCAAATGAGTATTCTATTACCCGCAAAGAAATGTTGGGAATAGTGAATGGAACTACCTCAAGAAAAGCTTTCTCTGATGAGGAAGAATGGGCCGACAAGGATGTACTATGCTAGTTCTTCTTGATTTTCGCAATTGATAAAAAAACTTATGCGTCGTTTAATGAACTGCCATTCTTCTAACCAGATGTGGCGACAGCTGTGCATAGTTCATGAACAGAATGCAATAGAGAACGTGCAACTACTGCAGCAGTAGTTCTTTGACATGCGGATGAAGCCGGATATTGAGGTGGTTGACCACGTGAGCTCGATTGAGCAACTTGCATACCAACTAAATGACTCAGGAGAGCCCATCTTGGATCAAGCCATGATCTGTAAGATTCTAAGCACCCTGCCGCATCGATTCCATTACCTACTCTGAACATGGGACAACGTCCCAAGGAGCGAGAAAACAGTAGAGGCCCTCACACTACGCCTGCTCAAGGAAGAAACCCGAAACAAGATTCAAGAGGGCATAAACGAAGACGAAGAGAAGGCCTTTTTCATGAGCCGAGGACAAGGTCAAGCTTCGAATCAAACTCAAAGACCCCTCTCTGCCGAAGAGAAGAAGAGACGATCTGCTAGGATCGCAGAACTCAAACAAAAAACAAAATGTCGAAAATGTGGAAAGAGGGGGCATTGAGAGCGCGAATGCCCCGACATCAATAAGAGGATATCGTTCAAAAAGACAAAAAAAAATGGCATAAAGAAATGCAAGGCGAATGCTGCCATCAGCGAAGAAGTTAATGAGGACGATAGCACAGCCTTCATGGCGCACGCTGACAAGTCCGCCGATGACTCTGATGCCTAGCATATGGACGGAGGCACGACAGTCCATTTAATAGACCGACTAGATTAGTTTATTTTGCTAAAGCTTGTACCCCAAGGGCGATGGTTCATAGTAATCGACGACAACAGATGACTTTGGTTCCGAGGAGTTGACCGCATCAACATTCAATGTAAACTCGAAAACACGTAGAAATCACAAAACATCCACCGCATCTTTTATGTCCCAGAACTACGGAAGAATCTTTTCTCTGTAGGACAAGCAACTGACAAAGGGTCAGTGACCACATACACCCATCGCATATGCTACCTCACAAGTCTTGAGGGGCGGGAGAAAGTTGTTTTAACAAGAATCCAAATAAACAAATTATACAAACTTGAACTCAGGGTTGAATGCCAAGCTGCCCAAGCTCACATTGCTATAGCGCGGGATGCATACATTAGATGTGATGAAACGAGTTCAAATCCAACAGACTTGACAAAGTCCTTAGTAAGTACAATGGAGTCCAGTAGAAAAGGAGAAATAAGCAGAAGCGGAGGAGCTAACCGAAGCGCAGATTGGAAGGTCAACCTTGTGGCACAAAAAGTTCGGGCATGTGCACAACGCTATGATCGTGCACATGCACACGCATAACACTGTTCACAGCTTATGTTTGCAAAGCCATGCAGTGTTGAAGAACCCATGCAAGGGTTGTGCAATGGGAAAGAACTTCAGGAAGCCATTCCCAAAGCATTGATCTTCACCGAGGCCCGAAAAAATAGGTGAGTTTTTTCATAGCGATGCGTGCAGACCGATGAGCAAGATTTCACTAGATAAAGCTCGCTACTTCGTCCTTTTCAAGGATGACTTCTCGAGGTATATAATCATTTATTGCATCCAATACAATTCGGATGCGTTCAAAAGATTTAAGGGACTTTGCACACTCGTACCCCAGCAAACAAGAAACAAAGTCTAGAAGCTCCGCAACGATCAAGGGGGTGAATTTTTGAGCCAAGAATTCACATAGTTCTTAGCTAATTCGGGGATTCAATATGACCTTACTAGCCCCCATACTCCAAAGCAAAACGATAGTGCCGAAAGGGAGAACCGCACATTCATAGAGTGTGTGCAGGCAATGCTGCATACAAAAAAGTTGAGCCTTGACTTCTAGGGAGAGGCAGTACAGACCGCCGCCTACCTCCTAAACCAGATAGCCTTCGGAACAAGAAGCTACAGGATGCTATACAAGCTATGGACCGAACAAATGCCAACGGTGTCACACTTGCGTGTCTTCGAGTGTACGCCATATGTCCACATTCTGAAGGCAAGGAGGAGCAAATTGGACCCCAAAAGCATAAAGGCCATCTTTGTTGGATATTATACCACACCAAAGCATATCGGCTCTGGAATATGTAGTAGCGGAAGATGGTGATAAGCCGAGATGTGATCTTCGATGAGCTATCACTCCCCAGGGAAGGTACCCTGCGGAATTTTCAGGGCTCTTTTCCGTCCAGCAGTCTTTTCCTGAACCACAATCACATAAGAACAAAATCTAGCCAGATCCAACAGCAAATCAAGTAGAGCCACCAAGTTCGAAGTCCTTGGAGCAAATAAAGACACTACTAGCAACCGAAGGACGAGTTTTTGGGGAGCATAGCACAAGCGAGGAAAGCAACAAGTCTCCCACCTATTCAAAAATTCAGAGTCCAACTACCAAGACAAATCTATCGCATGCAGCTCCACCGCTCCTATCACTGCGCCCTTCTCGCATTTGCAGTGCATCAACCTATCTACGAGTCTATGTAGTTTCCAACACTTTTGTTGATCTTGCCTCGAGCTAACACGTCCTAGATGATCCCAATACCTATGAAGAAGCACTTGCGAGCCCCGAGGCGACCGAGTAGAAAAAAGCAATGGAGGCGGAACATGAGTCACTTATAAAAAATGAAACCTGGCGACTTGTTTCCTTACCTCCAGATTGAAAATTGGTACGCTGCAAATAGATGTACAGGGTCAAGATGCATTCCGACAGAACCGTCGCAAAGTTCAAGGCACGCCTTGTTGCGAAGGGATATACGCAACAATTTGGGGTTGACTACGACCAGACATTTAGCCCCGTGGTGAAATACGGGTCCATCCAAACCGTGCTTGCCATCGTAGCCCGAAAACGCATGTCGATTATTCAATTCGACATACACACATCATTTTTGTATGGATCACTTGACACAGAGATCTACATGCAACAACCGTAGGGTTTTGAAACCATGAGTCAAAACAACTCGCAGAAAGTGTGCTTCTTGCTCAAGAGCTTATACAGCCTAAAGCAATCCGAGCGGATCTGGAATCAGACTTTCCATGATTCTTTCATGAAGTTCGACCTCAAAGCAACGAAGGCAGATTCCTATCTCTATATTTCGAAATCAGAACCGCGGCTCATTGTGACTCTCTTTGTGGACAATGGTTTGGCCACTTGCTACTCAATGGCCCGACTCGAAGACCTCGTGCACCACATGGAGCAACATTTGGGCATCACTTGTTCAAACGCCAACCTATATGTTGGACTCCACATCTTTCGCCTTCAAACCAGCGGACACATTTTCATCCACCAAGTAATTTACTTGTAACAAATATTGAGCCGTTTCGGTTTTAGTGAATGCACTCTTGTAAATGTGCCTGGTGATCCCAACACTAAGCTCGACAGCGACGGAGAATCCCTTTCACCATTGTTTCTCTACTCTGCTGCTAAGGGGTGCCTCTTATATGCACAAACCCTCAGTCGTCCCGACATTAGCTATGCGGTTAGTATCATAGCTTAGTTTCCAGTAAGCCCACAATGCCAGCACTACCAGGCGGTAGCACAATTTTTTTGTTACATCACGGGCACTCTCCACCTTGCACTCTGTTTCAGCAGCACAACCAAGACAATGTTACTCGAAGGAAATGGGAATGCGGATTATGCTGGGGATGGCACAGATCAAAAATCCTGCATAGGTACATTGTTGCTACTCAATGGGACACCCGTCCACTGGTGTAGTAGAAAGCAAAATTGTGTTTCTACATCTACCACCGAATCGGAGCACGTGGCAGCAGGATCAACCACAAAAGATATTATTTGGTATCGTCGGCTACTCGCAAATCTAGACTACAAACAAGGCCAAGCCACATGCCTCTTCTCTGACAACCAAAGCACAATTCGGGTTGTGCACAACCCTGAATTCCATTGTCAGACGAAGCACATCAATGTGGTCTATCATTTCATACAAGAGCACCAACGTGTGGATGACATCGACATGCAGTATGTCAACACAACGGCACAGTTGGCTTACTTGCTCACGAAAGCACTACCTTTTTATTGTTCTTTCTTGCTTCAAAACTGCATTGGATTACTCCCAATGCCAAGCGTCAAGCCTGCCCACTAAACAATAGTTTTTTCGGTGTTACAGACCAATAGCATCGGGAGCTAGTGGTCTGTGGGAGGATGTTGATAAACAACTCTCCAGGTCGGATGAGCTAGCACACTCAGCACACTCGCGCACTTCACGTAACTAAATTCAATTTAAAGACAAATGATGATTTAAGCGAACACCATTAGTTCGTTGGGGTGCATGATGTTTAATGCCCTGCGCGCACTCACGAAAGTGCGGTATGTGTGTGTTATTTTTTTTCTGTGTTTAATGACATCACCAACGTGTTATCTGCAAGGTCGCATGCGTTTGTGGATCGAGCGTATTTTGAGCATCTTTTTCTCTATATTCTTGACAAATAACCATCGATTTATACCTTTCAGTGTCAAGCTTTTCATAGGTGCAACAATCTGATTTAGCAAGCAGTCTTCATAAACGTGTATGCCCCAGCCTTAACATCGAACATTCAGTATTCACTTTGTACAAAACTGGGGGGGGGGGGGGGGGGACATGACCTTGAGAAATTTACATCGTTTTCTCCGGCTTCTTTAGCAGCATTAACGATGGTGTTCTCATTTGTGCCTCAGTATGTGCATCTTGAAATAGATAACATTACAAAAAAATTACAAAAAAATACTTGAATGTTCTATATTTCAAGAGTATCCCTAGCACATAAAAATTACAAAAAAAATACTATGAATGTGATAGATCCTCTTGAAATAGAGATGCTGCGACGCACTTTCTTCTCTGGTCCCTCTCCACTACTTTATTTTTGACCGATTGTTAATAGTCGCTGTTATTCGTATTTCAATTTGACGATTAGTAAGTTTACTTGTATTTCCATACGTTACCACTCCTCACACACAACTTCACGTGCAGAGTTCCGGTTTCAGAATTTGAGGTATGTTTGACGCATCCGTTAGGTGGTAGAAGCTTGCACCCAGGGGTGATCCCAGGGAAGCTGCTAAAGACACAGTTGCTAGGGAATGGCGAAAGTTTAAGCGTTCAGAGGAGACGTCTTTGTCATCAACTGGTATAGTGTGCACGCTGGTACTGAAATGCCATGGGTAAACATTCCGGCACACAGTGCAAGTCGCAACCTCGGCCGATGCAGCAGCGTTCGCTGTTATGCATGATATCTCCAGTATACCTCGATTCAGACAAATAAGGCAGCATCTATTCATGTGTGATTCCCTTGGGACTTGTGGCACCCGACAGCCAAAATGTAAAGTAAGTATTGAACTCCCGAACGTGAAAATTCTCCCAGAGGCTACGATTTCAATAGCTGAAGTCATTTTACCTGCTTACACATTTGCATCACAACCTCATAGCATTTTATTTTATTTTATTTTATTTGCAATTGAAAAAAGACAATCCGAAGCAGAATCGTTATAATTTTAAACTAATTCTATCTTTGAAATCTAAACAGATCAACTTTAATATCTTAATGTTAAGATTGCATACGTTGTTAGGATAATATAGATCAGTGAGAAGTGTAATTTCGTTAGTCAGAACATTCAAAGTATTTTTTTGTAATTTTAATAATAAATTTAAAAATAGTAAGTAAACGCAAAAAAAGAAAAATAAACTGGAGTATAAACGTATATATGATTTTCTGAACATGTTTGCTTTAGCAGATTGTACATTTCTTTTGCAAAAAAAACGTTGTTTGGTACAACTATATTAATTATCTGAAAATAAAAACTGTATATATTATTTATTTGATAAGTATTATCAATTTAGCTTAAATAATTTTTATGATTACATTAATATAGTATAGAAAATCCAATGAAAGACGAAGGTTGTGATCCTTATAGTCTTTAAACTTGTTTCTTTAATATGTACTGTATAAAAATTTCACAATATTTTAAAGAATTGCATACCTTTCATCATTTTATATTACAAAGAACTACAAGATATAAAACACAAAGAATATGGTATTATAAAATGTAAACAGTTTCTGAATCCAATTTTTTTACATCATTGTATTATCATTTCCACAGTTTATAAATATCTTCTTTTACTTGTGTAATACTATATTACTCAAGATTTATTACACTTATGAACTAATGAAGTGGCTGCATTAGCAATATAAGAGAGCAATATAAGATAGCAAATTCCAATCAAGCATTGAAGTGTCACAATAAACAAGACAGAAAGTGAAGTTTTAGGGTGTGGGAGGAAGTCTACTCGTACCAAAGTGAAAAATCATTGGTATAGACACAAATATGAGAAACCATGGTTCCAAATGAGTGGAACAGGAAGAACAGGAGCCAGTGCGGTAACGAGGAGGAGGAGTCCCTAGAAACGAGACCGTCACTGCCTTGCCGTGACGGACGTGACGGGCAAGGGGCTGGTGTAACGGCGTCGGAAGTGCGCAGTGCTGCGCTTTTGAACCGCGAGAGAGAGGTTTGCGTTGGCAGGCAGGCTCTCGGTCGACAGAGAAAGAGCTCACCCTCGCCATCTCTGCCCGTCCCGACACCAGGTCCGATTCCAACAGCTTTTCTGTAGGATTCATCCAACACGCTGCGAACCGTAGCAACGTCTGTGCTGCTGCGCCTTCCCTTTGGTTTCTGTCTGGCTCTACTTGTACGGAGTTTGGTGTTTCGTCATGAAGGGGGGTTGGCGATTCACCTCGGATGTGTGGAGGTGTCGAAGCGTGCGGGGGGATTAATATGTGAATGACAATTACGGCCGTTCAGGGTGTTGGGAGGTGGAGGGTGGAGGGGGAGGCTGAGTGGTTGTGGCAGTGTGTAGAATGCATAAGTGAAAGGGGGACAAATTTTTATTTTAGGGCATGAGATTGTCAAGACGAGTTTGAACAGGCGTGGATGGTTCTTAGGGTTTCGCGAGGAGAGCAAGGTGGCGATTGTTGCGATTTTCTGCATTTTTGCTCCCTTTTTTGTTGCAATTTTGGACTCTGCCGATTTTTAATTGAGAGGCACGGAACACTATCGTTGCGTTTACTGCGAGGGGCGCTGAGAGGATGGAAGAGGGAAGGTGGAGGAAGATGATTTGTTCATTTTTTCTGGATGAGATTGGAGCCGTGGTCAATTCTTGAGCAGTGGAGTGCAAGAAGAATGTTATGGAGGGGACTGTTTAACTCCATCAGTGAAAAGAAAGCATTTTACCCGGGATTGATAATTGGGAGAGACGAGGGAGAGAAAAGGCTTTGAATGTGCTCCGACAGTGGGTAATTCACAGGAGTAGACTTAATGGCGAAGGAATCGGAAGCGGACCCCCAGGGAGTATGAGGATGGCCCGTGGCTCTGGTGTCGAGCGTGAAAGGGAGCCGAGGAAGTTAGGGAATTATACTGCCGACCATTTGATTGTCGAAAGGGATGTATTGGACGGGGACCCGAGAAGAGTAGGTAACCTTGCAATGGCAGACAGAGAGAGGGAGGTGAATAATACTCCAGTGTTGATGCGTCTAGGTGGAAATCGAGAAGAGTTTGACCCGGCGGCAGAAGAGTTACTGGAACTGGTAACGCAGTACAAGTCCGCATTATTAGAGTTGACATTCAACTCCAAGCCCATCATCACTAATTTGACTATCATAGCCGGGGAGAATGCTCACGCCGCTCACGGCATCACCAAGACCATCTGTGACCACATTATCACGGTATGACCCACAATTCATTCTCGGGATCATATCGAAACGGGCCCTGGTTATTGTAATCCTCCCATCGACACGTTCATTGGCCTTGTTTGTATTTTACACGTGTAACTTCATCAAAGATGAGGTGTTTCATGTTTCTGATTATTATTCGTTTAAACGAGCCGGCGGTTTTTCAGCGCTTACGCCGGGATGCCCCGGTTTCATTCCTTCCCCTCTCTGTTTGGTGGTGTAACCTTATTAATCTCCAGACAATCTGGCGAACTAATTATTTGGCGGGAAAAATCTGTGATAGCAATATTTTTTTCCCGAAGATGAGATTATACGGAATATCCTTGTGAATGGGCTGCTCGGCAGGCTATTTTGAAATTTAATAGTCTAGATTACTCTCTTGTATCTGATTGCTTTGAATTCTGTGAATGATCGTTTTAGCGAGTTAGTGATGGCACACGAGTCTTCGTCTTGGCCTTTATCATACAGACAATATAGACGTAAGGAAAGCCCCATTACTCTAAAATTATTATCGTAAAGTGAGAAATAAGCCCGCGTAGCTTCTTAGTGCACTGGCGATTCTTGTCGACTTCTAATTTTCATCATCAATGGAGGTGCTACTTTTGGCTATCAAACCTCTAGGTTGTTAATTGAATCTTATATTGACACCGTCTTGTCTACAACACTTGTGGGAGTGGGAGCGTTCAATTACAACGTTTTTATTTTTATTTTTATTTATTTATTTATTATATATATATTTTAATTTCAGGTTTTTCTTTCCTGAGAGAATGCCAATATTGAGTGGTGTTGAATTGTGTCTAATCAGAGTTTGCAGTCCCTACCTGTGGCTGCCTTGCTTCTGGTTTCATTTAATTCATTAATTCGTTCGTTGATTGATTATGTATGTATGCATGTGAGATATCATTATTGTTTTGCAATCGTTTTACGTATCCTTTAAGTCTTACTTTTGGGTTGAGAAATTTCGACTACTTGATTGCGTACGATTTTTCCTCTTAAAGTTTTGCGACTTTGAGTCTGATCTCCCTCGTGGCGTGCAATTTTTAGGTTCCAGAGGATCAGAAGCTTCCATCTTTGTATCTCCTTGACAGCATTGTAAAAAATATTGGAGGCGAGTATGTGAAATATTTTGCTGCACGACTTCCTGAGGTAATTGTCATTTAAGAAATTAGCTTTGAACATTTATTCAACCGAAGTGTTTGCACCTGCCATTGAATCCTCATGATACCACGATTTTTTACGGTTTTTGTGGATGAAAGTTCATTTTGCATGTTACTATGAGACTTTGTTAGCTGCACATTTATTCTTCTAATCTGGATGCGATCCTTTTTGCAGGTTTTTTGTAAAGCATACAAACAAGTGGATCCCAGTCTTTACACAGCAATGCAACATCTATTTTGGACCTGGCGGGGTGTTTTCCCACAAGCTCCTCTTAGAACAATCGAGACAGAACTGCAGTTGAACCTGAAGCCTGTTGCGACTGCAAGTCGTACTCAGGCCCCAAGAGCCATGGACCCTGCTGTGCGTCCTGGACATGGCATACATGTGAATCCGAAGTACCTGGAGCAACGTCAACTAATGCAGCAAAGACCAAGCAGGGTCTGCACTTCATACTTACCATTTTTCATGTATGCACTTTACTAATTTAGTTTTAGCGTATATATATATATATATATATATATATATATATATATATATATATATATATATATTGTTTCTTCTTCTCTACGCAGAATGCTCCTACCGACCTAGATTAGGTCTTTGTTTCGTGCTTTTGGTTTCAATAGCGACTGTTTTCCTTTGCTTGCGATATAATGTGTCCAATACTTGTGTTCTGATAGGTTGATGGTACTCCTGCGGAGATCAACGGAGGTGCCAAATTAAGACAAGATAGATCTACGCTACGGGAAAATCCCAAGACATGGTCGGAAACACAAAGAGCAATTGTACGATCTTCGCCAAGCTTACATTCAGTCGATTGTTCTTTCTAAATACTTTTCTTTGGCCACATATTTCCTGCACAACTCTAGTTTGATGTGATTTTATCTTCTGCAAGTCAGGCATGTCCATGGATTTTGGTGGTGTTGGTGCCACGCCGTATTTATAACACAGGCTAGAGTTGTGACTGTCGTTTATCGTCTTTGACAATGGTTTGTCTGCATCATGGATCAGATTGGGCATTTCAATCGAGAACATCTTGCTGAACCAGTTTACAACAAAGAGCCTGCATTAAATTACCCAGATTATGAGCTTCGGAGACGGGGTATTGCAAGATCCGATATTATTAAATCAAAACAATCGGATAGATTTGATCAAGGAGAGAGCGGTTCATGGTTTCGTGACGGAGACGTAGAAAAGGGCAATGTTGTTCCCGATGAGCGGTCACAACGACATCCTCGTCGAAACGGCTATCGGGATGATCCAAGGCAGCCGTTGGGAGCAAGGCCTTTAATTCCAGATGCACAGAGCTACGATCGCTCTGTTGGTCCAGGAAGAGGAGGTACATTTACTGCATCGCAGTCTGTGGATCTTGAGAGCAGAGGTAGAGGCGAAGTGCGGAATCGTAGGATGGATCCTCGAATTCCCGTTGGTGCGGATGGAAGGGGTCGTAGAATAGGGCTGGGGTCTGATGTCGAGGAAGGGCGGGGCTACAAGATGGAAAACCGAAACCTTACTCTGGAGGCTGCTGGCAGAGGCAGTCGAATGGACACTCGTAACATGGGTTTAGACGGACGTGGTCTAGGACCAAATGTCCGTTTTTCAGGGCCGAACAACCGTGCTTTACGATCTGAAACCGTTGGGCTAGGAGCAGATAGTCGAGGCTTGAGGTTAGATCGGGGCCTGGGTAGCGAGATCGTAGGGAGGGGAAACTGGCAAAATGAAGAAGAAGAGGAATTTCAATGGGAAGATATGCATCCACAGGTACAGGAGCCAGATCGAAAGGCCGGCGACAGTAAAGCGGATGAATGGTTAAGTGTAGACAGGGACATGATAAGGGCAGGAAATTCGAACAGGCCAGGGATTGAACCCGTGGGAGGTTTGGACGACTGGCGGAGAGTTGGAAGCGGTTCTCAATCCGAACAGTTCTCTGGTCCAGCAGCAATTCGGGGAACTCTCCGCAGAGTACGGCCGTTATCTTGATTGTAGACATCAGTAGACTGTGATGTGATGATATTGCTTGTGTTGAGTGTTTGCAATTTGGCACATGGACGATGCAAGTGTTCGCATGTGTATTGGGATAAAACAATGCTTCTGAGGAATGTTTGTGAAAGCCCTGGTTTTGACCAGTCCAATCGGTGTGTGGCAATGGGTAGTTGCTCGTACATAGTGATCTGAAGCTTGCAGTATTGCTCATGTTCAGGAGTCTGAGGAGCGCAGTCGACTCGCGATGTCCCAGTCTAGTCATGGGTCTCGTTTGAAGGTGGAGCCGGACATGGATGTGATGAATTCTGGTCAGACAAGATTACCTCCAGTGCAGGTAGTGTTGGGGACAAAGTTACTTGGGAGTATCCATTTGTTGTATTCTGAGTTCGCGGCGTTGGTTTTGTAGCGAGCGTTTACGTTGGTGAACGTTGGAATGGGATGTGATGAGGTTGGGTTGAGCGGATGCATGCAGTGAAGTGACATTTGATTCCGCGGGTGTGTTGTTTGTGGGTTTGATTATGGACGTTGTGGTAGTGAAAGTTGTGTTGGTGGTTTGCAGGTGACGCTTCCGAATTTCAGCATGGCACTAAGTACGTCAAACGTGCAACCACGACCAGGGACTCCTCCAATCCTTTCCCCAGGTGGAAGAGACAGCGTTCAAGGTGGACGAGGAGCATATGGGTTGAGGCAAAACTACGGGTCGAATCTAGGGCAGGGTCCGGGTTATAACAGCTCGTCTGGTGTTCCGTTTGGTCAAGGCCAGAATGATGGGCAGGCGAACGGAGTACATTCCTCGCAGGCAGTTCCATGTTCAGTAGGTTTACCGCAAGTGTCTGCAGGTGGAATGTTGCAATTGCCTCTGTTTGGTCCGAGTCAGCAGGCAGGTAATTCGAGCGTGCAGGTTGCGGTGATATCTCAGCAGAGCGGTCTTGTGAGTTCAGAGGGCACGCAGAACCAGTACCCGCAACAAAGCGGGAGTGGAGTGGTGACAATGCAAGCGCAGTTGAATCAGTTCCAGCAGGCAACACAAGGAGGGTCAAGTTTGGGTGGTAATCAGGGTGGTGTTCTCCCCCTGAACACCGCAGCGATTTCTGAGCTGCTGAAACTAGTACAGCAGTTGCCAGCTTCGCAGAACCCGATGCAGCAACAGCAGCAAGCGCTTCCTTCATCGCAAACCCAGTCGCAGATTGTAACGACGGGTCAGGTGTTGCAGTCGGTTTCAGGCGCACCTCCTCTACCGAACGGTTCGCCGCCTAGTTTTTTGTACAACTCGGTAGCACAACAGGGAGGGCAGTACACGACAGCACAGGGTCAGGTGCTGGCGCCTCCAATGCTGTACCCCAGCCAGGCGGGAGGTGTTCCGAACCAGCCTCCTCTTCCTCCTGGTCCGCCACCAGCGTCAGCTCTGACGGGCAATTCCGGGGGTCAGGGGTCTGGGGGAGCGGGAGTGAACCAGTTCGACAACCTGTTCAAGTCGCTGCTAGCTCAAGGCCTGATATCTGCTCCCGGTGCGACGGCTGCGACGAGTGTCCAAGCTGCGGTGGTGGATGTGCGAGGAGGGATGAACGCGGCGAGCACGAGTTCGTCGTTCTTCAACCCAAATGTAGGCAGCGTGCAGGCGAGCAGTGTGCAGGCGTTTGCGCTTTCGAGTGGTTTGGGGGGCAGCGTGGGTCCCGGCGCGGACAGCTCATCTCGGTACGCGGGTGATGCAGCAGCAGGGAGCCAGGGTGTGGCAGTGAAGGATGATCCAATCGGGACGGAGTTCAAGCCGGAAGTGTTGAGGGAGAGGCACGAGGTGGTAATAGACGCGCTGTACAATGATTTTCCTCGGCAATGCAAGACGTGCGGGCTTCGATTTTTGGAGCAAGAGGCTCACAGCAAGCACATGGATTGGCATGTATCGAGGAACAGGCGGCAGAAGTCGCAGAAGAAGGTGTCACGGAAGTGGTTCGTAAGCGAGAAGGAGTGGCTGAGCGGGACGGTGGCATCGAGTGCGGAAGCGGCGCCTAGTTTTTTCGCTGCAGAGGTGGGTGCAGGTGCAGCGAAAGCGGACGAGGGCGAGAGTCTGGCGGTTCCAGCAGATTACAACCAGAGCGTGTGCGCGTTGTGTGGAGAGCCATTCGATGATTTTTACAGCGACGAGAGGGATGAGTGGATGTACAAGGGTGCGGTGTATATGAACGTTCCTGCGGGCGGTTCTATAGAGGGGATCGACAGTGTAAATTTGGGGCCCATTGTTCACGCGAAGTGCCAGACGGAGTCTGCAGCGACGGCAGATCTAACGGAGGACAGCGAGGAGGTAAAGTGGATGAGAGGAATTAGTGAGGGGGTTGGAGTGGTCGAGGGATGGGAACATGGAGAGCGCGGGAATGGGGAGTGTGGTGAGTTGGGATTTGGTGCGCGGGAAGGGCGCGGGGAGTGTGATATGGAATGAGCGGATGTGGTTTGGTGAGGGTGGTATGATTCACGAGGGGGTGTGGTTGGGGAATTTGCAGGTTCAACCGGAGTTGATGGCAGCAGATAGTGTTCGCATGGAGGTTGATGTGGGAGGGGGAGATGATACAGCCATGCCGTTACTAGACAATTTTGAAGCTTTGGAAAGCAAGGTACGTAGTGGGTGATGATGTAGCGTATGCATTGGGTAGCTTGGTTTGGGAGCGTTGGTGGTGGAGTGAAGAGTTATAGAGGCGCATGTGTTGGATATGAATGGTAACTTAGTGGGTGTGTGTGGAGTTGATGCACGCAGTTTGGTTGGGATTAGAGGTGTAGGGAATGGAGTGTCGTAGGGGGTGCGATGAAATGGGTTGTTGACGTAGCGATTTGATGGCGGGGCGTGTGCAGGACGAGAACATTGAAATGGAGAACAGGAAGAAGAGAGTCCGGTATTGACATTTCGGGTGTTCCAGTGTAAACAGAGGCGTGTACGAGTGTCAGAGATGTAGTAGGGGACAGTTGACATGAGGATGATAAACGATGTGAAATTGACAGATTCCTTGATTGCTTGCTGAGGCAATAGTTTAGAGATGGAAGGAAGCATTTGATGTGGATGAAGGAGTAAGAAAGGCGGCGTTAGAAAAACGTGATGTTTCATCTTTACAGTTGTGGTGTCCAAGGCAGTGTTGTCGTGATATGTGGGTATGTTGTGAATGGATGATGTGAAATGGTAATCGTTGTTGAGGGCAGTGAGGTGGTTCCCTGGTACGCTGTTGTGAGTGGGAAGCTGTGCTGGTGTTGGAAGTTAGAGGGCGCTTTTGCAGTACAGGTAATGGTCAGGTAGGGAGGAATTCGTCTCCAAACAGATTGCTTTGGGTTAGGCTGGTTTTTATGATGGTTTGGGTTTGGAAAAGGTAGTATGGTAGCTAATATTTAATTGCAGTCCTGTTGTGAACCCACATGGTTTGGAGCTCCAGTCCGAAAGGTTCCTTCCGAGTGAAGGGGGAATTACTGGCTGCAATGATTACATTTCACCGCCCTAAAGAGATACACTGGTCACGTGTAGCCTCTGACCAGTCGGTTCTGTGTTAAGCTTTATGGCCTTGTGTACATTTACGTATCCTTTTCGGTGATTGGTTTAATGATTTTTGGTTTTGGATTTGAATTTGTGCCTATAGGAAGTGTGCTGTAATTTTCAATGGAGTGGTCTTAGATTCCTTTCTAATTGAAAGTTGAATTCAGAAACTTCACAATTGAGCACGGTGAGAATGTTCTATTCAAAAATTCTGTGTTATGATACATGCGTTACCAGACAAGTATGTCTGGTTAGGAGTGAACCAGCTGCATAATTATTCAACTAGAAGTTGTAGGGCACAAGATGTTCTATAATACTGAAGTACTGAGTTGCTAGACTGCCAAAACTGAGTATGAAATCAGCTTGGTCAAATTCAATAGACAATGTAGGTAAATTGGATGCAACAAAATTAAAACCATAAATTGCACAAGGTTATCATTGCAGTAAATCATACTTCCATGATGATTGAAGTTTATTACACACAAGTATGTGTATTCAAGAAAAATTAAAAGTCCAAAACTAAAATGAAGCTAAGTCCAAAGCTCAATTTTACTCACACTAGCTGAAACAAATTTAAAAATCTGTCTATATGTCTTTAGCAGCTATCACAGTTCTAATGTGTTTATGTATGCTTCTATATAAGTTCTTACACTCATTGGGAGTTATTGAAGTCCAACAATCCTCAATACACTCTTATAATTCTAGCATTTTTTTGGGAGGTGTTTCATATTGTTTCAATTGATGTTTTAAAGTTGCATACAAGTGTGGAGATTGCGCTAGCTCCTTCAAAAAAGTAAATTCTTGAAAATTGAACCAATAATACACACTCTTTGACATATGCTTGGGGTCTTTTGCCTCTTGAAGAATCAAACTTGTAAGATTTAAATTATAAGCATGCATTGTATGAATCAATTCTCTCTGTATATATATTGATTTACTCTTTCCTCAATCTTGTACATCATACCAAGGCCATTTGGAGTCATGCAAATTGTTTATTGCACCATTCCAGCACTTGTACTTTGCCCACCATGAAACCAACTCCAATTGCAACTATCAGAGCAAAAGTGATTGACTTTTGTTTTATCAAAGAATATTACACAATCCCAATCATCATCAATCCAATGACAATGATATTTTGAAAATTCTAATCTTGTCTTAATCTGACAAAATATGAGCTTTGATTTCTTTTGATTCACTTTGGATTTCAAACTTACTTCACGTAACACTCTCCTCACTAATACTAATATATTAGTATGAGTGCTATCACTCATACTAATATATAGCTCTTTCAAGTAATTTCCAACTTCATGTGCAGTTTCCTATCACCTCTAATAATTTATCTCACACAAGTTCTTCAATCAAGTGCATTATACTTTTTTGGCTTGCCACAAAAACAATGACTTAGACCATGATTCACTCAAATCACTCAAATCAAGCAAATATTGCTTATGAAATTGTGCAATCCAATTTATCTCACACAAGTTCTTCAATCAAGTGCATTTTACTTTTTTGGCCTGCCACCAAAACCATGATTCACTCAAATCACTCAAATCAATCAAATGTTGCTTATGAAATTGTGCAATCCAATTTTTGAATCATATGTAAATCTTTAGCAACATTTCTAGTACTCTCACCCCTCCTCAATTTTTGCAAAGCTGCCACTTCTACTAGCTTCCTATTAGCAACAAAGAGATATCTTAATGAAAACATTTTGCTCAATTTGCATAAATGATGTGCACTGATCATGGACACAATTATATGTATGAAGCCCAAGAACATGCCCATGCTCTCAATCACACTCAAAAAGGCACTTGTGCATGTTAGATTTGTAGCTTAGATTAGTCATTGTAATCCAAGTATGCTCAATCTATCTTACATTGGATTTGTAATTTGATAGCCACATCAATTACTCAAAATAGAACTTAAATCACCAACTGATTTGGCTATTATTGCATTACAAAAGTGTGAATGGCTAATGGCAGAGATGCTGATTTCATATGTTGAGCATATTGATAAATGTTCTGCTCTACTTTCTCTTTTTTGTTCGTTCAACAGAATCATTCAAAAGTTTTTCCAAGTCTTCATTCAGCAGGATAACTTCTACTCAGCACCATTTCATTATCTGTTAATACTCAAGACAGTACCAGCAAAACAAACTAAACTTCTATTTCAAGACAAAAAACAAAAAAACACAAAGCAATCATGAATATCATTTAGAATCCTCACGATCATAAAAATTGTAACAAAAAATCTTTTACAATCCTTGGGTGGTCAAGGCTCCAACGCAAGCAAATGGGCATAAGATGAGAAAGATTATAAGAATGTGAACATCTTCAGCACACCTTAAGCAAAATAGTCCTCACCATGAAAACATTAGGTCTCTGCAGCGAAAAATTGGCCTTGCCTCGTGTACACGGCCCAGCGCCGATGTAAGCAACGCAGACTGCGTTGGGTTGCATGGATTACACAGCTTAACTGCGTGAGAATCAATCAAGCTGGGAGCTGCTGCACGAGAATATGCAGAGTTCGAGGTGAAAACCAATCAAGCTAGTAGCTTCTTCATAAAAATGCAACTGGGTGGGGTACAAGGTGAGAATCAAGCAAGCTGGGTGGAGCGTGACAATCTAATCGTGCACTGGCGTTTTCCCCTTCAAGTAATGGGTGAGCAGGTACGTGGTGCTGTAATTAAACCCCTGCAAGGGAGCGTCGCGAGTGCGGGACGCGTTGAGCTGGGTCCTCACTCGCGAAGCCAGGCTCTTGCCGAGTTCGACGCCCCACTGATCGAAGGAGTTCACGTTCCAGATGAATCCTTGCACAGCAATGCGGTGCTCGTAGAGTGAGAGGAGCTGGCCGATGGTGAAGGCGTCGAGGGTGGGGAGGAGGATGCTCAACGAGGGGCGGTTGCCGGTGAAGACCTTGTGGGGGATCAAAGGCGCGGCCACGCCTTCGGCTTTGAGATCTTCGGGTGTTTTGCCGTCGGCTAGCGCGTCCGCTTGGGCGAAGAAGTTGGACATGAGCTCGTCGTGGTTGGAGACCTTCTCCCCTGGCATGAAGACCGAGTGCTGGCTTCTCACCGCGCCGATGAAATCGCACGGGACGACACGCCCCTGGTGGATCAGCTGGTAGAAGCTGTGCTGGCCGTTGGTGCCCGGCTCCCCGAACTCGATCTCGCCGGCTTCGTAAGGAAGCGGGGTGCCGTCGATCGCTACGCCCTTGCCGTTGCTCTCCATGCTCACTTGCTGAATATGGGGTGCCAGCTTCTGAAGCGCTTGCGAGTAGGGGAGAATCGCGCGAGCAGGGTAGCCAAGAAATGTTACATTCCACACACTGAGGAGCCCGAGGAGAACTGGAAGATTGCTCTCCAACGGCGCGTTGCGGAAATGCTGGTCCATGCTCCAGGTACCTTTCAAAAACTCCTCCACTTTGTCGAATCCGTATTGCAACGCGAGGGGGAGGACGCCGACGGCGCTCGTGACGCTGTATCGCCCACCCACCCAGTCCCAGAAGGGGAACGCATTCTCGGGATCGATGCCGAACTCCTTCACCAGCTCCAAGTTAGTGCTCACCGCAATCATGTGCTTCGACACCGCATCGACTCCGAGATTCGAAGTGATCCATGCTCTGCAAGTGCGCGCATTCAGCATGGTCTCGGCCGTAGTGAACGTTTTCGACACCACCACCACGAGAGTCGTCTCTGGGTCGAGGCCTTTTAGAGCAATGCCGGAGTCCACGGGATCCACGTTTGAAAAAAACCGCAACGATCGGCCCTCGGCTAGCTTTTCAGCTGAAGGTTCCGTCTCCAATGCATTGTGCACGAACAGCGGGCCAAGGAAACTCCCCCCGATTCCGATCGCCACTACGTTCGTAAGCGCCTTCCCTGTGGCGCCAACCCATTCCCCGCTCCGCACCCGTTCAGAAAACTCTTTGATTTTGTCCAAGGTGGACCAGACCTCGGGGACGACGTTCTTTCCGTCACAAAATATCTCGGCCTCGCGCGGGGCTCGCAGGGCACAGTGCAAGACAGCTCGATCCTCCGTGGAGTTGATGTGTTTTCCACTCCACATGGCGTCGATCTTCTCCGACAGCTTCGCCTCATTCGCAAGGGAAAGCAATTTCTCCATAGTGCCTGTGGTAACGCGCTGCCTGCTGTAGTCCACCACGATGCCGTCCACCTCTTTTATCATGCTCTGGCACCGCTGCTCGTCCTTCATGAGCTCTCGCAGGTGCGTCTTCTTGATCTCTCCCACATGCTGGTGCAGTTGCTTCCACGCTGCAGTTTCCGAGATCGCCAATCCGCTTACATGCTCTAGCCCCTGCTCCTGCAACTTCCTCTTTGCTGGAGAATCTGCAATGGACATCTTAACTACTCCTCTCTGAAACCTCCGATTTCTTACACCATGGCATGTTCCATAAACCTTCCAACTGGTCGTCCTCAATGCCGTCGCCTTCAAACTGGGTGCCGCAAAATTGTTCAACTGGGGTACACTTCTGCTCTGCTCAGCATCCTGCGATACAACACTCGAGATTAGAGGAATGAACTTCCACGCTCTGCACCTAAACGTTTCGGATAGATTCTAATCCATATATTCTTTGCAACTAGGTGGCAGGTCTCCAGTTGGAGAAATTGGAATAGCAGGACAAAGCCAGATAAGCAAACCCTAACGCCGAACAGAGCTTCAACAAATTACGATAGACAACCTGCTGCAACTTCACTTTTTCACGACATTCAGGAAAGGAAAAAAATCTCGACGACGACGTCTAATCAAAGCAAGAGGCGACCAAAACGACCCAATCCAACGAATCGCAAATGCATGCCCGTTGTGTCGTCAATGTGGAAAGACACAATCGTGAGAGCTGATTGATTGCTTCGACATCAAAAACCTGCAAGCAAATGTCCAAATAATCAATTACTATACAGAATCCAGCACAAGGCATCTATACCTGGAACTCCAAACTCCCGTCGAACGTGGAACGCGAAATTCCACCAGCTTTACCACACATCGACCCGCTCGCAACACTCGCCATGCCCCCAACCCCCAAAAAGCCCTCCCGTAAACAAACCCCCCCCCCCCAACCCCCAACCTCACAGATTCTCACACACACACACACACACACACACCTCCTAAAATTTCCTAAATCTTTCTCCCAAAGACCACCACAACGATGACTGCAGCAGCAGCAGAGGGAGTGGACGAGACCAAGAAGTTGCTGGTCTGAGAAGAACTGACGATTGCCAAATGCGAATGGTGTGAGCACGAAGGCACGAATGAGGCAAGGAACTCGTTCACAGAGAACTACTAAACAATCAGTAAGTCGATCGTGTACAGTCGGCGACTGCGGCGCCAGATTGTGCACAGTACCTAATTAGATTCTGCAACTCCAGTTGAGTGCTTGCTCGCATGCACAGCAGAAGCAGAAGCCATTCTCGGTTATGGGGTACCTAGTGCCGGGGAATCATCGTCCTTCAGCGAGAGGTGCTTGGGCACCGTGACCACGCGGAATATGCCAGTTGTTGCTTGGGGTGCGGTCACAGGAGACTCGGTAGCAGGATAGGAGATCTCCATCACACCACCACCCCACGGGCACGGGGCCCACTTTTGCTATTGTGGGTGTGGCCAACAATCTCAAGTTTTGGTCACAATAGAATAGAGTTGAAGAAGGGCTGATGTTGACATGTTGGCTTTTTTTCTTTATCCTCCAATCACCCCTTTCTTTTGTCCTACAATAACAAATTATTGCACCAATGTAACGTCCACTACATGATCGTGTTGAAAAATTGTGTTTGTATAACTTGGTGGGATGTGAGCGGATGTTCCGGGTTTAGGTAACTCCACTGATAAAAGAATGTCCAATTCATGTATGTTCATTAATAGATGTATTTTTGGTCAAATTCTAATAATTTAAAATTATAGTGTAATACTTTTTCTTACCTAAATTGTGTTGCCCAGATTGTAATGGCATTTTTTTATCTTTTTATTTTGCTGAAACATAAGAGAGTGTACCTCCTTGATATTAAATGTATGAGTTAGAAATATATAAGGTTCCCATAGGCAAAGTAATAGCTTCAAGGATAGTGTAGTTTATCTAAACCTTAGGAGGTAGAGAGTTGTTTGTTAAGGCAAACTTTTTAAGCACATTATTATTATTATTATTATTATTATTGTGTTCCAGTACCCTTTGGTGGATTGCCCACTTTGGTTTGTTTTGAAGTTAATTTTTCTTTGTCACACAGTAGTTATTACAGTGTACACTATATTTCTATAAATGGAGGTTGAATGTAGAAAAGCAGATAAATGCAAACACAATTTAATATCATAAAAAAAGTTCTCTACAACTATCCTTATGTCATTACAAGCTCTTTCTAAATTATCAACAATATCAAAATGCTTTTTTCTTTTCTTTTCTTTTCTTTTTGATTAAAGTGTAGTTTATATTTTAGCTGCTTATAATTTATTTATTTTTTTATCTGAACTAATTATAATTGAATTATTAAAAAAATAATCAAATTTAAGGTCATAACTTATATATAATTTAGGTACATATACCAAGTGTTACATACATAGGCTAGTAAATTCATCTATTATATTTGAGGAATTGTTTTAAGAACATTTCTTCTAGTAACATGAGTGGCAAAAGATGATAAGACTAGATCAAATACTTCTAGTATTGCAAATTAATACCCATAAAAGTCAAGTTGAGATCATTCTTAATTTTTCTCAACTTATCTATTGAGTTTTATATATATATATATATATATATATATATATAGCTTGCACACATTTTAATACCTTAACATGTTTACATACTTATTGTAAACTTTTGTAGAGCTATTTTTATTTTTTTATTTATTTTTCTTGTATTTCTTAATTCTTTGTTTACAAAATTATTTGTGTAATTGATGTACACATGTAAATCTTCTCCTCCAAAGATTTAAATTGTTAAATCAATTGAGAATAAAGTAATAAATTAGTATTCTTGATTATTTTGAATTAAGTACAATTGTATTTTCAAAATTATATAAAACTCATTTATTACTTATATATCTATTTCTAATAGAGTTGGAACAAAAAGTTCTTAGATCCTTTAAGGATATTGATATTTTAATAACATTTATTTTTACAAAACACCATATACCATGTTAAATAGGCACTTAATGGTAATGTTTGAACACTACATTATTTCACGTTTACAAGAGGAAATAAGATTGAGAATATCAGACAAGCTGGTCTTGATTTAGTAGATAGTTTATATGAACTAATGTTTTTTTCATAACTTTATGGGAAAATAATTTAATCAAAAATAAATCAAAATAAATTAATAACTAGTTTAAAGTTTAATCTCACAATGATTAAAAAAATCATTCAACTTCTGAACAATCCTTTAATTTTAATTTTTTATTAAAAAATTTAGTGTGAAGTATTGAAAATATTGTGGTAAGATTTTCTTGTTGTTATTGCTTTAGATTTTGCCAATTGTTAGCACCATTTGTTCTGTGTAACCATTGTTCGCTCTTATTGAAGTGATACAAGCTAATTGATTAGATTCAGCTTCAGTGTCAGGTGCTCATCTAATCTAGAGCATGTAGTTCTGCAGAAACAAAATGTAACATAAATAAGGGCAATCCTCAAATATTCAGGGTGAAGGAAAATATGGAAATTATCAACATTGAGCCCACCTGGGTTCCAGTCTGTAGACATCACAATTGTTGATTTCTATCAGTATGTCAGGTACTAAAATCCTCCAAGTCTGTCTTCTCCAGGTATTTGACATGATATCAAGTGAAAGTTAAGGAATCAGAACAGAGCTTGTAATTCCCTGCGCATTTACACGTGATACAGTCCTCATTTGTGAACTTACCACAGCACAATTAGTGCTTGACTGTAAGTAACGAACACTGTACACTTCACCGTAAAAAGAAGTAGTATTAAATTAGACTGTTTCTGTGTTACATTCGGAGAATTGAAAGTTGGGTATAATCACATTTATGTTCCATCTGATCCCTTCACCGAGTTAACAAGCCTTCAAGATCTAGAGCACTTAAATGCGACTAAAAATATCAATATGAAACTTTAGAATACAGAATAGAAAATGTTGTTGAGAATTATAAGATCGAGAATTCAACACAAATTATTGCTGATGGCATTTCGTTAGACCAAACATCCATATAGTACTTATGAGAGTGATGGATGGAGCTCTCTTGGGACAGTGCGAACGTCAACGCACTTCAAAATCTTGTAGCAAGCACCCTGCAGCCATACCCGCAAAGAAAATTCCTCGGGCAGCACACCTAGTCCCCTGTACAGCGCGCAACTAACCAGAACAGATGTGGATCAAATGTTGAAGGCGGAGAACATCATATGTCTTGCTAAGAAGCGAAGCATTTTGATGATGAAAAACAAATTCCCCTCAGCGATTGCGTCATCTCGAGGTTCTGAGGTCCAGTCCTCTCAATTCCCGAAAGAATAGATGATCTGCAGCGGCGAATTGCCATGTGAATGCAGGAACCAATCATTGAAAGGCACGCGTTGTCTTCAACTGCTTACGTTCGAGAATCCCGAAACCAAATCAACAATCGACTCAAAAATCTGTAGGCAGACAACAGGTTCTCTTCTTCACACGCTGGTAAATGAACTGCCAGATTTCTAGTAATTTCAAATGGATCAAGTGGTCCTGTGAATAGAATCAATGTAATAAACTCCCAATACCACCTAAGAACTTTTGAGGAAATTATCTGCATTTCGGCTCTGGTCTAGTAATAAGCTTAACCTCTGCCCTGCACTGCTAATACTACCCTGCCTGAAAATATCCACGCATAAATTCTAACTTCGTGACGCATCACATGTGGATAAACATCAAAGCTTATTTTTGCTTGCGAGCCTGCAACGAACGGCGGGTGCGACCTGCGGTACTGCCTTTTGACACTTTACTACCTCCATACTGCTTACTATGAAAGTTGAGGAAAAGGAATAGCAAGCTAGCATTGAAGACTAGGTTGAAGCAGAAGGCGTACATTCCTGCGCAACCTGGTCCAGAAAAGTGCAACCACAGAGTGGCTACGCCGCAGATGAAACTGAACACGAACTGAACAATCTGAACGTTTGTGACAACTTTCTTCCACGGCGGGGGGCAATTGATGCTGCAAAGAAAGTAGTACGTGTACATGATGACATGAACCGCCGTGTTCGTAAGAAGAGCAATGATCTGCAAGCTCTGGGTGTCTTGGAGCCAGAAGAAGCACATGAATATGACCGTCGCGTGATGGAACACATGTAGGAAACTCAGTGGCCGCTTCTTAAAGATAAGTATCACAGTATCGAGTAGTTCATAAAACTTGCTGAGGTAGTACACGTACGACCAAAAGAAAACCGGCCCGACAGCGCGAGTACCATGCGGGAAGCACAGCACCCACTCTGCGCCGCTACTCTTCCCCCACAACCAGTTGCTCTGGCGCACCTCCGCCAGCGTCGCGTTCAAGCAGCCAACAAACATAGCCAATGACCCGACAGTAAGCACCAGATTATGGACTACAGGTATGAAACCCAAACGCACTGGCTTATCCCGGAAACTCAACAAAAATTTGACAACGAAAACGCCTAAAATATATAACACAACCGATGACACGGCGAAGTTCCACGACCCGACCAAGGTGTGGTCCTCCCACTTAAAGCTCTGAATCGCCGGGTGCTTCACGGTCCAGAAATCGAACCGCGACCTCAGATCCTCAATGCGGAGCTCCATGGCCGAAAAAAATTCAACTCCGGCCAGTAGTCAAATGCTGGCGGAATCGCGCTTCCGCTATACTTGCCTCTGCAGGTGAAACGAGCAAGCAGAGAGAGAGACGCTATTCGGTGGTGTTCCGTCACGTATGCATTCCTTTGGGTTGCGAGTGAGCTGCTGCCCCGCCATCATCACCGAACCCCATGTGCGAGCGAGGCCATGTAACCTGCGCAGTGCACAGAGCTCCCTTCCTCAAACCCTAAATAAACCCTTCACCCATCCTCGGATTTGGATGAGGTTTGTTTGTTTGTTTGATTGCAGCCTTCGCCCATTTGAGATTCAGCCCTTCTTCAAGAGTTCATGTCTGTCCATGTCTCTTTGGAACCTTTCCCAGCTTCACTTTGTTCCCAATTGTGTACTCTTCTATTTCTCCATAGCACTTTGAACATGCTTGTAAAGCTGGAATACCTTAAATCATCCTTCTAAAGTTTGTTGATTATTGGTGGGCTTGGAATGGACTTGGAATCTTTCTACAAGAAGAATAGGTTGTTTTGGATTTGTGCAAGGGCAGTTAAGGATAAGGTCTACGGGCTGGCTTAGGGATGTGATATGGTTTGAGGTATTCTGATGTTATTGCCTTGAACTGTTTGTTTCACTACATCAATAGAAACTTATCTATTGTCATAACAACTCAGGCAAAATATCATGCAATTGCAATGAATATTTTTAATTATATTTATACTCTAAAAAAAAAATTATGTTAAAATATATCATTGTATTTAAATATTTTATGTGTTGGTTTATTCATGACATTTTTCTACTTTTCTTTTTTCTTTACATTTCTTTTTATATGGTCATTTATATAAACTTGCATCTTTTGTGGTGACTTAGTATTACAAAACTCAACATATACTCATGGAGTTATTTTTTCTTTTTGTTAGGATTTTGTGGAGAATGGCTTTTGTATTTGGAAGTATTTTTATAAGAAATATATATATATATATATATATATATATATGTGGATGGATATAGTAGTAGTTGCATTTCATAAACTCCAGCTTGAAATATATATGATCTAACACATTAGGTTAATATATGTAAGTATTAGAGAAAGAATAGGAAACTAATACTTATCATAGAACATGGGTTTGTCTTAGAGCATCAATTCATCCAAGAAATTTTGGTAGAGAGATCTAGCCAACAAAATTAACTTTGTGGATTGCAAAATTTGGTAATAAATGGATGTAGATAGGATGCAAGATCATTTACTTTACAGAGAAAGTGTGTCTAAGACTAAAAAACTTAAGATTCTTGAAACAAGATTAGAAGCAAAAAAGAAGCTGATAAGAATGAAGAAGGCATCATTCTTGCCTCTATATATACTAACTAAGAGCTATATGACAATATTCTATAGGACCTCCAACACTTATCTAACTTACAAAACATGTATCTAACTTGTAAGGCAAGTTTCTTATTTTTACGCCACATGATCAACTTGTACCATAAGTGGCCAACATATGCAGCACATAGCCAACTAAATGGCCAAGTTTTTAACCTACTAAACATCTATAGACATGAATAAAGTCAAATCCATATCCATAATGCTTTTAAGAAGCTTTTCTATAAGATGTTATTTAATTTATCTACTTTTACTTACTTCTATCTAATTCTTCTTATTTATGTAATTTCTAATGTTGGTTATGTCTGTATTATCTTGCATGTTATGTTGTGGTATATTATAAATTTTATATTATTTTATTTTTGTATAAAATAAAAATATATATAAATTTTTTTATTACAAAAAGATGTAAGTTGTTGATTTTTATAAATAAAATTGTATATTTTTAACTTACTTAAATATTATTAAAAAATAATATATTTTGTTACATAATCATTTTTTTGAAGATTGTATTGAATAAGAGTAGAATATTATTAATAGAATTATTATGTTTTATGAAAAACCACAAATAAATATATCTAAAATATATTATTGTACAAGTATTTTTATGATTTTATTAAAGTATGTGATCTAATTTTGCTAATAGCAATTAAAAACTTTATATTAAAATTTTAAGATATTATAATCAAATTTATATATATATATATAATATAATTTATTAAATATGACAACTTGGATATAGCACAAAGATACAAAGAAGGCTTTTGATTGACTATAAAGAAAGGATCTTGAAGAATGCAAAGAACATAGGAATATGAGAATATAGAAAAATAGAAAAAAAGATGCATAGAAACATAGAAACATAGAAATTAGAAAACATGGGAAAGAACAAGCATGGATAAACAAAGAAATTGATGCATGTATCAAAGATTGCATTGCCTAATGACACAAAGTTTTGCAAATATATTAAATTTATTAAGTAATAATAATTTTTATATAATTATTAAATATCAATTAATATTTTTTATTAATTAAAAAAATATTTTTTCATGATAATAAAATTATACATGATTTGGAATGTATAATTTATTTATTTTTATTGAATATAAAGTTAGTAAGATGCTATTAAGATATATTTAAGATGTGATTTTTATAATACTTATTAAAAATCTAGAAAAAATTATTTTTAAATATTTATTTTTATAAATATTAATATTTACTAAAAAAATATTATCAAAGTTAATTTTTATTAATTATTTAGGATTTTTTATTATCTCTTGTATTTTTTTAGTTAACTTCTTAATCTATTTTAAAGTGAAAAAGTAAAAATATAATTAATAAATAAGTAATTTATTTTAAAATATTTTTTATTATATAAAAATATGAAAAAACATATTGCTAAGATAAATTTTTAATGTTGAAAATACAAAATAAACTCACTACCTAACTAAGGAGGATTTATGAAAAATAACCACATAAAGTGATTTTCAACTTTGGGCTCTTATAATACAAGTCCATAATGTAATGGCAAGAAAGTTTTAGTACAAATATACTAATAATAGCTCACTACCAAGGTATATTTAATTTAAAGAGAATTATCTTATAATGCCATTTATGACTATATGGCAATACTACCAATTTATGGGTGCTACAAGTTCTTAATCAATGATAATTTAGTATCAATCACCTACATACTAATCAAACATATGATGTCTAATGGAAGTTATATAAGCATAGAACATATGATTCTTTGAAAGAGAAATGTAGTTTTGATTATTATTGAAAATAATTATAGAACCATGTTGTAAAAATCTAATGTCTTTGAATAAATTGTGAAGCCAAATTACTGTTTTTGTTATATGAGTAGCTTCCATATACTTTGCTTTAGTAGTAGACAATGCAATCATTGATTGTTCTTGCTATTTCAAGTGATAGCACTACTAGATAATAAAAATGTATAATCAAGAGTTATATGTTAAGTATCAATGTTTCTAACATAAGTTGCATTGCAATAATCAATATTATCTAATGTTGTAGGTTAAGATTTGCCATGTACTAGCTAAAACTTTCCTCTAGATATGTAAAGCTGATTTTAGTATGTATTATTGAATATAGCTACAAGTTTATACTCTTCTATGTCAAACCTTTTAAGAATGTTTTCCATGTATTTTTGCTAATTGAGATAAATTCTATTATTCTCGTGGTTTCTAATTATCTAAATGTCCAAGACATAATGGATTTCTTCCAAATCTTTTTTCTCAAATTTTTGACTAAATGAATATTTATTTAAAAAAGAAATCTCTTATTATTGCAAAAATTCATCAAGTCATCCACATATATAAAAATGATAATAAATACATTAGAATACTTTAATACATATTTGTTAGGATTTTAATGGCTCTTTTTCAAACTTTGTGAAATAAAGTATTCATCTATCTTTTTATGCTATGTATTTAAAAATTTCTCGAGATTATATAAATTTTTCAAGAATTTACAAACCAAAGACTATTTGCATTATAAGACATAGCCTTCATGTTGCTTTATTTATATATGTTCCTAAAAATATCCATTCAAGAATAATGTCTTTATATTCATTTAATAAACTTTCAACTCTTTAATTGCAAAAAATTCAAATATTTTATAAATAATAGTCATTTTTGCTATTGGAGCAAAAGTCTCATTGTAATTAATGCCTTCTTTTTGTACATAATCTTTGGCAACATGTTTCACCTAATAGCATTTTACTAAACCATTTGTATTGTATTTAATTGTAAAAATCTACTTGCATCTAATAGATTTTTTACATATTGATTGAGATGTAAAAGTCCACATCTTATTATCAATATAACTATGATACTTCATATCCATTTCTTCTTTTCACTTCCAATTATCATCTTTTTTCATAGCTTTAATAAGAGTAATTGGTTCTTTAGTGCTAGTATAGAAAACATGTGCCATGCAAACTAAAGATATAAATAACTTAAAAGGCATCAAATCCAATGTTTATTTATTATTTATTTATTGATTTTTTAGTTCACATACTTATAAATAAAATAAAATAGATGAAGGTAGAGATGGAGAGAGGAATTAAATGTATGATTGTAATAATTTATTAATGTTCAAGAATATAAGCTTGCAATTGAATTTCTTTTACTAAAGATGAAGGTTCAAAAATATGATATTTTTGATTATTTTTATTGTCTAAATTTTCTACTACATCTTTACTATCACATTTAAAATTAGATGCAAAGTCCAAAGTCAATCTTAATCATTTTTTCTAAATACTTATTATTAAAAATCTCCAAAATCTCTTTTTTTTGCTTAATCTTTTTACACTCAAAATAATTAATATCATGGTTTTTAATCTTAGAACTCTTTTCAACTTTATAGAAACAATAATATTTAGTACTTTCAATATATTTTGAAAATGCATTTTTTTCTTTTGATGTTGAGCTTAATGATTTTTTTTATATATGTTTAGAACATATACATATACATCATATTCAAATACAAAAAATAATTTGATTTATGGTTTTATACTTGAATACACTTATTTTGGTGTTTTTTTTCTACAATTGACATAGGAGCTCAATAAAAGACATATATAGTTATGTTGGTGGCTTCTGACTAAAATTCATTAGAAAGTTGTTTATGCTATAATATACATTTAACACTCTAAAATAATATTTGATTCTTCTATTATTTGACTCTATATTGCCAAGGTGTATATTGTATAGAAATTTGTTGTTCTATATTGTAATCAGTACAAAATTGCTTAAAATCCATAAATATATATTTACCACTATTGTTACTACATAGTTTTTGAATCACCAAGCCCATTTATTTTTCAACTAGAATCTTAAAATTCTTAAACATTTCTAAGACTTTTAACTTTTACTTCATGAAATAAATTTTAAAAAAATCTTAAAAATCATCAATAAAAGTAATAAAATATTTTATCCTTCTATAAGTTGTAGTCCATACATGACCATTTATATTAGAATTTATTAATTTTAAAAT